GGATGAGCTCATAATTATTCGTCACGGAGGCAATTTGTCCGAAAGTGCCTAATTCCAGCCATAGACGATGGCCAGGACCTGCCATCCCCTCCTTCGTTGACATCGTTTACATGATTTCCGTCCAGCCTTAGGCCAGTTGGTTCGCCAAAGCGACGAGGCAAAAAGTAAGAGCAGTTTGTTCATTCGTATTTATCTTGGTCCGGGTTCTTGCGTGCAGTTGGTGGCAAGTTGAGCGGGAGTCTGGGGAGAAAGCAAACGAGTGAAGAGTTGAGGTGTTTGCGGCAAGGATGAGTTAGAAAAATAGAGCGCAAGCTGATATCGCTCGTAGTAACGGTTAAGGGGTAGCTTACAAATGTGGATATATATTGAAAAAGGTGTCTGAGCGCGATCTGGTCGTGTGGTACAGTACAACATGGCGGCTGATCGGGAGGACAGAATTGCGATCGGATCACGGCGTCCAGGCCCACAGGATCAGAGGAGAAAGGGCTCAAGGGGGGCACGGGAAGTGATACAGTTTGCTGGATTTTACAACCAAGCGAGCTGCTTATGCATGCGGAAAGCGATGTTCGTGTGGAGTGTGAAAGGTGAAGGATATGTGCAATCAGTGTCGGTGTGTGTATGTGTGTACGCGGGCGTCAAGCTGTGAAGCATACATTTGTCGGCTAGTCTCAGGTTTGGACTGCGGGTGGACTCGATCACATCCAAGCGAAGCTTGAAGCAGGACAGGCTTGGCTCGAGTCGAAGCAAAAGTACGTGAAGACGAAGAAAAATAAGTGGGGCAAAGTTCGGGATCTTTGGTTCTAGGGCGTCAAAGAAGCAAAGGGTCTCCTAGATTTTGATTATTCCCATTTTTATATGTATATATCTTTTTAAAATAATTAATTATTTAATTAATATTTATGTATACTTAGTAGTCAACTCTTCCGTAAAAGATCTAGTCATTGTTTTATGGGCACTTAACAAGCTTCTGTGATCATGTGTGTGTATGTGTGTGTGTATGTGTATGTGTTAGATGTGTGGTAAGAAAGCTATGTTGCAGATACCGTCAGCTTCATTGATACCACACGGGGCAGGAGTTGATGTCAATGTGCAGGCCAGAGAAGACTCGAGGCTCCGGTCGGTGAAACTGCAAGTAGGTTTCTAAAAAAAAAGATGAGCTTGTGAATGACGTGAATTCATAAGGGCCTATTTGTTGGTGTGCTTGTTTGTCAAGTGAAAGATTTGAGAAGATGATCTTGCTGGTAGTAACAAATAAGTAGAGGGTTTTGAAGAAAAAGAAGAGGATAAAATTATGATAATTTATGGGAAATGTCGGATAGGAGAAGTGATTACCAGTTCCGTCATGAAGATGTAGCAACCTGGTAACTTGAGCCCCATCCGGCGTTGCAAGCGGCCATGTTGAAAGTTGAAGAATGCCAGTTTGGCAGAAAATTTGGTTCCAGAGATTGC